ACCCCGAGCAGTACGCGTACATGGTGGAACTGAAAAAGGCGATTGACGCCAAAGGACATTGCCTGCTGGAGATGCCTTCAGGCACCGGTAAGACAATCACCATACTATCGCTGATCGTCGCTTATATGCTCAAGTATCCAGCGAAACTAGCAAAGTTGTTGTACAGCACCCGAACACTGTCCGAGATCGAAAAGGCCGCCGAAGAGTTGCGGGTATTGTGCGACTATTACAAGTCGAACAAGTACGACGCCAACGTGCTTGGCGTAGTGCTGTCGTCCCGCAAGAATCTTTGCGTTCACCCGTCAATCGTCGGCGAACACAACGGACGCGTGGTAGATGCTCGATGTCACGCGCTGACGGCGCCATTTGTGCGCGCCCGCCACGCCGATGGTGAGACGGTCAATGTGTGCGAATTCTACGAGAAACTCGATTCTCTGGGAAGAGACACRATTTTGCCCCCAAACATCTACAACATAGAGGACCTAAAGGAACTTGGTGTAAAACAGGGCATATGCCCCTATTTTGTGGCCAGACAAACGCTTATACATGCCAATGTCGTCATATACAGTTACCATTATCTGTTGGACCCAAAAATCGCAGGCATAGTTTCCAAAGACTTCAACAAGAACACTATAGTGGTGTTTGACGAGGCACATAATATTGACAATGTCTGTATAGATTCATTGAGTTCTCACATCACAAGCAACAATCTGGACAAAGCTATAGAAGGACTAAATAAACTAGACACTGAGATCACAGCCATGAAAGAGAGAGATTCACAAAGATTGAAGGAAGAGTATAGGAAAATGGTTGACGGCTTGCGAGAAATTTACAGAAACCGTGAAGCCAATGCTGCCCTAGCTAATCCAATTGTACCTGATCAGGTGCTAAAAATTACTGAACTACCGGGGAGCATCAGAAATGCTGAACACTATATTGGTTTCATGAAAAGGTTCATAATGTACTTGAAACTCAGAATGAATTCAACCACTGTAGTACAAGAAACTCCTATAATGTTCATTAAAGATGTATACCAGAAAGTATGTATAAATAGGAAACCTCTGAGGTTTTGTACTGAACGATTATCATCATTGCTGAGGACATTAGAAATATCTGAAATCATAGATTTTTCTCCACTTATCACAGTTGCTCAATTTGCCACCTTAGTGTCAACTTATATGAAAGGATTTATGATAATTATAGAACCGTTTGATGAAAGGTCTTCAACAGACAGCTGTGTTATGCATTTTAGCTGTTTAGATGCCTCAATYGCCATCAAACCAATTTTAGACTATTTCAATACCGTTCTTATAACATCTGGAACACTATCACCATTAGATATGTACCCCAAGATTTTGAACATCAATCCAGTAATAATGACATCCTTGACCATGACATTGTCCAGACAGTGTTTTTTACCAATGGTGGTTGGTCGAGGTAATGACCAAGTAGCACTGACTTCCAAGTGGGAATCAAGAGAAGACTCTTCTGTTGCACGTAACTATGGACATTTGTTATTGGAAATGGTAAAAGTGGTACCTGATGGTGTCGTGTGTTTTTTTCCATCATATTTATATATGAAATCTGTGGTAGCTGCTTGGTATGATCAAGGATTAATTGAAAAAATTCTAGATTACAAATTAATATTTATCGAAACTCAAAATATTGTTGTCACTAACCACGCAATAAAATGTTATGCCGAAGCCATAGAACGAGGGAAAGGAGCGTTGTTATTGTCTGTTGCAAGAGGTTTGTTATTTTTTTTATACACATATTATATTTAATACCTAAATAATTATGAAATATTGTAAAAAATTATATTTTGTATCTTATAATTATATAAGGTATATCCATAAATGTAGATAGCCTAGGCTAGAAACATCTTAAATAAAGTTTCAAAAAAATAAAATATAAAGTATAATATATTTTTCTACTGAATATCATAAGTTAGTCAGAAATATTTTAAAATACAATTTATATAACTTATTATTTGTGTTGACTAAAAAGTAAATTTAATTGAATAACTTTGATCAACTGTTTTATTTGTTTAAAAAATATTAAGTATTTTTTTTTTCATGATTTTATTGAAATATATATCCAATCCAACATTACAATGTTTGTTATTTAAAAAGTTATTTCTTAGTATTTTATTTCAAAATTTTAGTACAAAATGTTTTTGTTTACAGGTAAAGTGTCTGAAGGTATGGATTTTGATCATCATTATGGTAGAGCAGTAATTGTTTTAGGTATGCCATATGTTTATACTCAGTGTCGTATATTAAAAGCTCGCATGGAATATTTGTGCAGTCAGTACCAAATATCAGAAGGTGATTTTTTAACTTTTGATGCGATGAGACACACAGCCCAGTGTGTTGGACGAGCAATTCGTGGTAAAATGGACTACGGCATCATGGTGTTTGCAGACAAAAGGTTTGCTAGACACGATAAAAGAAGTAAACTGCCAAAATGGATACAGGCGTATCTGACTGACAATGTTTGCAACTTAACGGTAGATGAAGCTGCACAAATGTCTAAACGTTGGCTTAGGTATATAGCACAACCTGATCCAATTGAAAATCAAATGGGAGTATCATTATTGGATGTTAATGGACTGTATAAAACTGATTTCTTAACAAAAGTTATCCAAAAATGTTAAGTACCTAAAATCATTAATGTTCAATGTAAACCTATTTAAATTATATTTTTTGTAATTTTGTCCAAACTTTATTAAAGTTTATATAAGGTTAAAATATTTTAAGTGTTTATAAAATTATTTTTTATTTGTAACCAAAAATGTATTATATTATAGTTAATTATGAGATTATTTACAAAATTTCTCAAAAACGGTAAATTTTCTACTAAATAAAATAATTTAATTTAATTTTTATTTTGGTTCTTGTGATAATCATAAAAAAAATATTCATGATATTTATCTGTTACATAACTAAGAGGAATCAGAGTGTTTRGTTGCCCCTAAGCAGTAAGCACAAACTGTGTTTTTCTATTATTAATAAAGAGTCTTCATATTTTTTATGATGGTTCAAAATAAACTTGAATTTAATTTGAACCTTATAAACTTATAGCAATGAATGTCAATAATATGTTATGTAAAGCTGCATAGATTTCGGGTTTAAATGCTATTTCAAAAAAATGCTTTAGTTTTTTTTTTGTACATTTAACTATATAAATCAGGACGGGCAACTGGCGCCCCGCGTACCTTTTTTATCTGGCCCGCGCTACATTTTCAAATTACTTCATATAAAACCTCATCCTCAAGTATCACATTAAATAATAATTGTAAATATAAATAAATAAAGATAAAAAATAAATATTTGTAAATTAGAAGGACCTTTTTTTTTTTTGCTTTCTCCTATGCAGTGCGGCCCGCTAGATTTTAAAGTACTTAAAAGTGGCCCGCTAGTTACTTTGAGTTGACCATCCCTGATGATTTTTTCTACACATATTTTAAGCTAAAAAATCAGCTGCCCTCTATTAAATCATTTTTTAATTTTTCCGGTTTAAAAATATGGAAATAATATACAGCAGTATTTAGTGTGTGTTCCTACTGTACATCTTTTTGCTTATTAAAACACGGATGCCTGAGTTCCCCACATTTTTTTCATTTGCTCAACTCTGACTTTAAATTTATTTACCTACATTTTTAAGCTTTGATCATGAACTGTGCACTCAGTGCCATCTACAACATAATCTTTCATTGATGAACTAATTATCCATGAACAATAATTAACTCGTGTTTAGATACACTGGTAATTGACTGCATAAATTATCKGATATTAGGAAAAACAGGTGACAAATCAGTTAGACATGATTTTGAGTTAATAGCAAAATGTCAAATGTAATAACAATCAACTTGCATCGGAGTTAATGTTGATTGTCACATAATGTCTATCCATGAATAGGTACCTAAAATAATATGACATTGTATTCTATGTTATTTGCTATTAAACTCACGTTATAAAAATAATACATAATATTATATATATAAAGATACTACCTAACGAAAGTGTCATTAATGGCTTTCCTCGATTGTAACATGTACTATGTTCTTAGGCGCCCACAGACATTTTTCTAGGGGAGGGGGGCAATGTTAGGATTTGAGGATAAATATTATAATTTTACTAGGTGTTTTAAAATAATAACCTTTTTTATTATACTCGTATACAATATAAAAAAAATATTTTGAAAAAGCTATTGGGGAGGCAAATACTCCAGATTTCCCMCCTGCGGGCGCCTATGACTATGTTTAATTAACGTAAACTGATTTTCATTTAATATTTAAACGTTTAAGAGGACGTGATACCCGCATGTGTTGTCTCCGTCTHACAAATGCGTGATATGGTACATTTTTCGCTCAGCAGAACACGTGTAGCTCCGTTAACTTAGAAATTATTGTGAACTGGCCTCTTATAAAATTTAAAGGTAAGATTATTATCTAGACAACCTCATATGCTTTTTATTTTATATCAAATTTAAAGCGAGTTATGAGTATTTTAAAATTGTACATTTTTTGTGCATCTTAAAATACTCATAACTTCCTTTAAAATTTAAATGTAATAAAAAGCATATGAGGTTAAATAGATAACGATCATACYTTTAAATTTTATGAGAGGTCAATTCACTCTAATTTTTAAGCTAATGTAAAATTTACTATATAATTCACTTGTAAGACAGAGACAACACATGCGGGTATCACGTCCTCTTAATACCTTATAATATGTATATGTCTATTCTTGTTAATACTTATTGTGCTATCAAATACAGATTGTAAATTTCATATATAAAAAATAAGTTATTGATGTTTAGCTGCCCTTTTTTAAAAATGGCGGCTACCGCCTTCAAAATTTAAATCTCCGATAAAACTGATAAGAGCAGTTATCAATTTAATATATTCACAGACTGATAAAGATAATAATTTATTATCTATACAATTATCCATGGATATCTATTTGAAAAATGATAATATCTAACTAAACAAAAAATCAGAAAAATATTTTAATAAAAATTTTTTCTAGAAGGACATTGTGAAACGAGACATGGCGGTCAGCTCATTAGMAACACATGAGACTTTTATACGAATGTTTTCTAAAATCACATATTAACTATAAACGCAGGTTCATACTACAGGTTTATCGGCTGCACGATCCGCGTTTCAAGCTATGTTTTCCGGAAAATTGATGAGCCCAGCTACTGTCAATTTCGTGATCCTGCGCCGCCGTGGGTTCTGGCTTAAATGTGKTTGTACAGACCTAGCCTTTGTATTGAGGAGAAATCCAACGATATATTTTGCTTCTAGACGTTGTATCAACGTCACTGCCTCGTTGGGATCGTCTAGAAATTATTACGATATACTGGGCGTTCCAAGAAATGCCAACCAAAAGCAAATCAAAGATGCTTATTACAAACTGGCAATGAAACACCACCCCGATAAAAATCAAGGAATACTCACAAAACAATTTAGAGACATTAAAGAGGCATATGATATATTGAGCAACGAATCTAGTCGGAATAATTACAATAACAATATGGGTAATTAATTTGGAACTTTGTATTATATTGTTGTATAATTCTCTTTTTTCATTAAAATGATCTTACAAATTCTAATTTAACTTATTTATTGATCTTCGGATTTTAAATAATTTATGTTGTTATCTAAATTCATATCTTAGTGTCTAAAGTATTGACCTGGAATTCTCATATTATGTTTTTTGCAGGTTCTTCAAACAATAGTTATAATAGTAGTACATCTAACAATTGGACATACAATTCTCCTTATGGCCGTTATGACACAAATCCTAAATATACATACAATAATAAAAACTGGTCAAGAACTGAGTACAGCCATCAAAGAACCAAACATGCTGGGGGCTTTGATCAACATAAACCATTTAATGTGTTCATAAATGTGATTTCAGTGCCCAAGAATATTATAAAAACTCAAATTGATATAATGTTATTGAGTTTTATCAAAAACCGTACATTAAAATGGATTTTGTTTCAACTATTTCAATATATATGGACATGGGGGTTAAATAATTTGAATTATAATGTACTGATATCTTCATCGACGCCGCATAACAATCCATTTGTTGAATTCATCAAAAATTTGCTTGAAAACCATACAGTTAGAATCGAACTAACAGAAATAGAAGCGATAAAAGGTAAAGCTGTTAGAGTGAAAGTAAATGAAAATGAAAAAGTTCTAGTGGTAAATATACCCCGAGGAGTACAGAGAGGACAATCATTCTACTTGTTTTACCTCATTGATGACAATGATAACACAACATTTAAAAGCTGAATTTTGTTAMAATTTTTCTGTTTGTTAATTTGGATGAATTATAATTTATTTATTTGCAGAAATGTGTATTATGCATACTTTTTAAAATGATACAAATATCAATGTCATTAGAACTATTATCAAATATATGTGTTAACTTCTTTAGATGGCGACAGTGGCTCCGAAGTCTTCAAAATCTAGTAGGGCGAAAATATTTTAAAAGGTCCTATCCTAAATTTTCAAAATATGTCAGACCATGGCTCAACCTTAACATAGGATTCAGTGCCACTTGATGGCGAGGCTGTCTCAGAGCGCCCACCATCAACCACCCATAGCCAAAACTAAAAAAATGCAAACACCAGAAAATGGGTAAAGTTCGTCTAGACTGTTTGGGTGTTGAGGGTGACTCGGTAGGACGTGTCCCCCTCCAATTTTTGGGGATCTAAAAATATTGACCATTTGTTTGGTGACTATCCGAATAAGGTAAGTTGCAAACCTGGGTKCTTTGGGTGCGGAATGAAGAACACATTTGAACCAAAGCCCAGAATTTCGCTGAAACAAGACCATTGTTCCTGAGTCACCTTATAAGAAGATCGGTCGAGTGAATAATTAAGAGATGGATGTGCTGCTAGACATGGGCAGTAATTACTCATTCATTAAAGCAAGTGTGGTAATGATTCCTTAACCGTGAGGCATCCCCTCATCTGCTTTACAGTATCAGAAGTATCACAGTATTCCTTATGTGAATGCCATTGGAGAAGCGGARACAGATTTTGTGCTCAATGGTGTTAAGCCTGGTAATTGATAATGTATAATTTTGTCAAAGATCAACTTCAAAACAATTTATCATAAATATAATACCATCAACTGTGGTTGAAAATATTAATAAATATTTTTTATTTTTCTTMAGTACCAAATCAGTCTTGTTAACAAATAATTTCAACTATAATCTGTTCAGAATAAGAACGTACCGGTTTGACGCTTCGAATGAAATGCARAATGACTTCCAGACCCCTATCTGAGTATAATTGAGACGGCACGATTGCCAAGTAAACAGGGCTTTTAGAGAATATTCATAATAGTGTTAACAGTCTTAGAGTTAATCAACATATTCTAGCATTAGTAAATCACCAGCTTTAATAATAAATATAATAATTAATCATAAAATTAATCTGCATTCATAAATAATTAAATTGTAATCATACAAATACAAATTGGGCAGATTAATCTCATTAAATAAATTAATATAATCCTGACTGATAACTTGACGCAAGTTCATTAAGTGTAMATTAATTGGAATACATAATTCAAGAATTACATTTTTTGTACAATTAATGTGTTGGAGAGAACATAATATAAAAAAGTTTAGTAGTTTAGAAGKAATGAAATGGCATCTAATTCTTAACAATGCCTCTAACATTAGTACATTTTTCCTTTTAAGAGATTTAAAGTTTTTAAAGAGTTTATGATTGAAAAAGTTTTTTCAACCTTGGCATTACTTGAAGATAATATCAACATTTTAAGAACAAATTTTTGGATCTAACCTAACCTTTAACCTTTTCTAGAATCTCCAGAGGCGGCAAACTWGGATATTGTACGCCCAGGGAAATTATTAAAATTACAACCCAGGCTGACTATAAAACGAATAGTTTATGAGTATAACTTTATAAGTATTTAAAGTCTAGACAAGCAGAATAGTGGACAAACATTTTGCAGGGTAACCCCGTACCAATCCACTCTGCCAATCTAAACTATAAATACTTATAACTCATAGACTACTAACCCTAAATTTGATTTTTATGAATCAAAATACTTAGAAAAATATATTCTGCTTTGGAATATGAAATTAAAACTCTATGTTGTCATTCAAAAAAGAAAAAACTTTAAAAATGATAAGGATAAAAAATATTTTGAAAAAGTCAATACTTTTTTAAATAATGAGTGTTGTTTGATAAAAGAATCACCCTGTATGGCTGTATATATGATTCCCTACAAATTATTTTTAATAACTACATTTTTTTGTAGAAATTCAAAAAATATATTATAATGAATCTATTATGTGGGCTGTGGTGTAGCCAAGTTATACCACATAAAAGAAGATTCAGATTACAGTGATTAACAAATTTTCAATGATTCGGAATAACCCACCTGCAATGACATAACATACCTAAATATTTTTTCAAAATTTGAATGGTCTAACCGACTTTAAAACTTAACCATCATAAATTGGGTTAATGCTTTATAAATGGTTTAAAAGGTAAAAATATAAACATAAAAAATTAGTTTATTATTTTCTCCTTGGAGTGAATTTTATAAGAACAAAAAATTTTGAAAAATAATCAAAACTTAATTACCTGAGACCTGCTCTGTATAAAAACGATTGTAGGAAATAAAAACCAATTTTTTTTTTGCTGTCATATTTTAGGTATTATATAGAAAATTATAAATAAATATTTTGTTAGTAGAACTATACATTTTTCTTTGCCTTTATTTGATTTTATTATTTTCATAATACTGTGTCACTACTAAATAGGGAGTCAACTATATAATAACTAGTCACTAGGTAATACCTAACATATWTTATTACCCAAAATGATATACGTGTCKTGCCTGTATTATCTAAAGTCTAGACAGTCTAAATAAGTAAAATAGCTTTTAGGTACGATTTTGTATCAGAAAGGTATTATATACAATATAATGTAATGAACAACATAGGCTGTAGGTACCTTTTTTTTATCTTAATAGTAGTTTTAAAAGTATAAAATATTATCTTTATATGGTTAAATACTTGTACATTTCATACACACTCACGCACCATCAAAACAGAAACTAAATTATCCACACACGTAAATACTATCCCAAAACATGTATACCGTCAACGGTTTTTAATGATTTATTTAATTCATCAAAATTCACAAATTTGAATAGGTTTGGTACTTTTTGACTGCCATTTCTTATACAGTATAAGGTATCGATAACTTTTTTATTTTATTGTACTGAAAAATTATTTATTTATAATTTTCTGATTTATTAACTAACTTATTAATTTTTGTCTCTTATTATACAGCAGACAGAATACCTAAAATATGACAGCAAAATATAAAATTTTATTTTTATTTTCATGGTTTATTTTCAATTGGGTTTTTTTTACCGTAGTCTTCTTTTCCTTTGGTTTTTTTTCAGAAACTCCATAAAAACACTTGCTGTTTTGGTTCTATGCACCTCAATTATAATAGATCTTTATGGTAAAATATAAAATCTTTTATTTTGATAAAGGTATTGTATATACCTAACCTATTTAGGCCAATAAAAAACGTATTTAAATAATTTATAAAAGAAAATTTTTGCACTGAATTTTGTTTTTTGGGTGTGCGAATTTTTAGACAGGCTAATTTTTACATTAATACACACACACACATAGGTAAATTATGCAAACCTATGTAAATATTCTTTCCTTCCCTTTTATAATTCTAATTAAAATAATTTAAAACAACTTATGCAACTTTTAAATAKCTAGCAATTCAAAGAATTAAAATTGTATTTTAGGGGCAACGAGCTAAAGCCATTTTAATATTATTTGAAAAGGCAAATAAGATATAATGAATAATAAAATACTCTTTAATTCCAAAATTAAACATCATTCATAAAAAATATCAAAATATCAATTATTTTTAAATTTAAATAAGCGGATATTGACAGGTTTTAATGTGTAATCTATCAATTAAAGATAATAAAGTTACTTTACCTGTGCCTTTGTTCACCAATAAGATTTGGATAGTTGGCAGAACTATAGATTTAAACGAACTGCAAATAAATCTATAATTCTGCTAACAAAAGAATTAAAACAAAAACACATACAATTGTCTTGAAAATATCCTATATTAGTTACAAAATGGTTTTCTATATAATAAATAGTGTTGAAATTGTAAGTAACAAAAACATTAGAAATATGAAGTTGAACAAAAATTTAATTTAGTAATATTGAAATCTAAAAATTTTATCAAAGTGTACAACACAATTTATATAATACTGAACACAATCAAATAGTCRCTTTTTTATTTATATTTAATATTTAAACACTTGATAGTTTATATTCCACTAATTTGTCTGGTTCTATTTCAACAGGATTTCTTGTAGCATCAACGTAATGAAGAATTAAGGAATCTCCATTAAATATTAATCCATCAGAGACCATTCGACCAATTACACAATCCATTTGATTTGATAGGTGCTCACCATCTTCTAGTTTGAATAAACGCAGTTTAGGAGTATTACTTTTATCATTTCGATTTTCAATTTTCAAACGTACTGCAAATAAATCTATAGTTCTGCCAACTGTCCAAGTCTTACTGGTGAACAAAGGCACAGGTGAAGTAACTTTATTATCTTTAATTGGTGGATGAACAGTAAAATAAACTCTGTCGATGACTGGTATTTTGTTATCACCCAATGCTTTCCCTTTAAGTTTCATTAAACGAATCTGTTGGGCCATACGTCTCTTTTCTGGTTGTAATTCAGCTTGCCTTAGACTTGCTTCAATCTAAAATAAATGTAATAAGTATTTTTTAAAGAAAAAAGTTTATTAACCTACTTTCTTATCTGCTTCTCCTTTAGCTATCGCAAATTGATCTTTGGATTTTTTAGCCGCTTCTCTTAAAACTTTCCTAGCCTCTTTTCCGGCGAGTTCATCTAGACAACCATGATGTCTATGCGCCAGACAATAATGCTTATCACATTTTGGGCATAGCATTTCACATGGATTTTTTGACATACAACTATAAAAAGTGCATTTGAACCAAGTCGTTTCCTAAAATATTATGAATCAATTAAATGGAATTCCTCAAAATGTGTAGGTTCATACATGGKCRGATAGGCCATTTTTCAAGTTTAGTTATGATCAGTTATTATAAAATTAACATCATATAGGATACTGAATTTCTTACTAGCTTTGGTCCCAAATCATTAGTACATTCAATGGAAACACATTGATGACTATCGAATCTTGAATGGTCTTTACAAAATAGGGCATTACATTTATCGCATTTGACTGGCAAGAAATCCAATTGTTTACAGTCCTTGTGGGCACATTGTTTACCAAAATCTGGAAACTCCATGATAAATGTGTCAAACTCGGGGTGGTGGAGGCAACGGGTTGTCACTAAGTATGTTTGTAAGAGCTAAGTCGGTCCACTTTGTATCTTGTTGAGTAAGCGTCAAATGAGCATCGGTGGCGTCCGCCTCAGGATCAGGTAATTCTTTAACGGGAACAACTATTTCGTCAAATGACAAGTTTTCTTGACGCCAAGTGTCGTCAATTAGTATTTGCAAACGACAGTTGGCTGGTGGGAAACTATCCATAACATTAAAAATTTACCTAAAACATAATTTAACATTATAACGAAATAAATAAGTTTCATCTATTATAACGTATAAATTATAGTTTAATTTTGAAATCACTTACTCGCTCAGTAACTGACATTAAACAATATAATACTGAAAACTGTGTGCTTTGTTATTTAGTTATGATATTGGCTCACTCGCTCACTTTTCGTTAAAAAATAATAACGTTCAAGTCCAAAACTTCAAAACACTAGGCAAGTTGATGTCTTGATAATAACTCTGATTTTAGTGATTTTACTGTTTCAAATGATAACCTCTAGAAGTCTAGAATATTCTATTTGTGGTTATTAACCTAACCTACCTRTTATACCAAGTTTAATATTATACCGCATACTTACCACAGTTGTAGTTGTTGTATCTATTCTGTGGTTGTAGACAAAACAATGGTGTTGTACCCATTCAAATATTAATTTATTATTATTAATTTATTATGCTTTATGCTTATTCTACTGAAAACTTTAGAAGCATAGAGCTTGAGCACTTTATAATTTTATAAATGCTTTTCCTACACAATTATTCCTAAACAGTTATACCACATACAATTTTCTGAATTATAGACTACAGTCATATKCTTAAGACGTCATAACCATGAATTTAGATACTACTTATGTATCTACTATACTATAATAATATAGTATAATGATATTAAAATGATCGTCTAAAAATAATCTATTACGTAAAGACATTACAAACATTATCTGAGATCTGACCATTTGCTACATAAAGTCGAATATACAAATTATAGATATGAGCACAGAAATACAGTAAAAATATAAACCAAGTTTATAGAATTGTAGAAAGAAAATCCCCCGACGAATGATCCCGGAAAAAAAATCCCCAGACTGCAATATTACTCATAACCTCATGAAAATGGTTGAACATATGTTTTTAGATGTTAATTATTATCTATAATTAGCGCATTATTAATATTTAATTACAAATATATTCAAGAAATTAATATATAGTGATAACAGAATATAATATAAATAATTGTATTACAATATTTTGTTTTATATTCCGATAACACCTACTTACAGTAAAAACATAGCATGTAAAAATATTTCTAACAACTATTATATTAATTTATTGAATGATATAATATAATATAATTTACATATTTGTAATGAAATATTAATAATGTGGTAATTATAGTTASTAATTAACGTTTGAAAAATATTTATGAATGAGGTTGTGAGGTTGTGTCTGGGGATTTTTTTTCCGATTACCAAGTTTATAATATTAAATTTGTATTAAGTCTGTGCAGTCATCATTGTGTCTAAAAAACTCAATAAACTAATAGACATAGGTGATAGGTATGAATCTTACGATTAGTCTAATTTAATTGTCTATTATAATCATTAATCACAGATACATTTACTAATACTAATATTAGTTTATATCTATGATTATAATATGAAAGGCCCATTACATAATATTATCGAGTATTGACCTGTATTGATGATAATGTTGAAGGATTCAGAACATATAGTTCTGTGATTCAGTTATTCAATACAGTGACGACAGYAGCACATATTCAAAATTTTTCTGGGATAGAAGGTAATATCTGCCACTGCATCAATATTAAAAATATCAAACCATATTAATATTTATTTATAGTCGATAGTATAAAGGTCCTTCAAATTTGAGTTAGATGTTACGGGCTCTCAGATTTTCAGAAATTATTAGAAATGGATTTATTTATTTATATTTATTTAAATTGAAATCACAATACATGTAAATATACTCCTATTCCTAATCAAATCGCAAAAAAGGGTATTATAAATAATAGAATGCTTATATAAGATAACTGATAAGCTATATTCAAAACTATAATTATCTGAAATAGTTTTTCTTAAATATTTCCATTTGGTTTAAAGTTATTGATGTACAACCGTAAAAAATAATTTTAAAATCAGAGAAATAAAAAACAATCGATGTTAACATTAGTTACATTTACTCATTTACTAGGTATTTACATCATATCAAAAAATATTTTGAACATTAAAGTATCAATTTTTTTTTTTCTAAAATGTGAAAATGAATAGTTAGTAAATTTTGGATTCAATCTTCTCCTACTCATTTACCACCCGAATGTTTATCGTTTTCAATCATCCGCCTTTCCACTTCAGCATCCAGTGCCTTTTGCTTCCTCCGACCAAGGGGTGTTCTCGAATACCACTGGTTGAACGCTTCGTCTTCTTCTTTATAAACGGGATCATGTCGAGCAAGTGCGTTCAGGATTTCCACGTGCATCAGAGGTCGGATCGTCAGCTGTAACACTCTTTTGCACGTCATCACCTATATATAGATATGCAGGTACAAATTAAAAATCGCTATAAATATAAAGCTATACATATTATATTTATATATACATGGTGGCTACTACCTACTTCCTGTGTCCTATTGTGAACACTGTGTATACACTGTAAACTACGTAAACACTACCARTCTACATATTTCAAAGTTTTAAATTAATTTTAAAAAAATAATAATATACCTCTTGCAGTACTTTTATGATGGTTCCGATGCTGTAGCCGTCAGATAATTTTGCCAACGAACTAACGTCAAATTTTCGACTGAGTCCACTGTACTGGAATAAAAGTTCGTTCCATATGTGATACAAACTGGCATAGTCCGGGCGGGGTATGACAATAATTTTCCCGTAAGTGCCGGTCAAAGATTTTTGATCGCAATCCCAGGGACAGCAGGAAGTACCAAGTAACAATATCTGAAACGCGAGTACATCGACAGTGACAATAATAATATGTAGTTACTATACAAAATGTCAATATGTATAAATGTTTAGTTGATACATCTAAATGCAGAAACATGTAATACTTTCATACAAAGTGATGAATTCATCTTAGAACACTCGATATTCAAACCTAACTGCCTATATGACTGTAAGCAATTTGTAATGTTTGTTCATCGCTTTGTTAGGTAAAATAGTAAAGAAATAAAAGCGATAATAAAATCACCCATTTAAGTAAAATATATAAATATATGGACAGTTTATATCATATATGTAAATAATTTATGTAGATTGTTGGTATTATATAGTTGGTAGCCGGTAGGTAAAATACTAATATTATTATATTATGTTTATACATATATAAAATAATATGTAATACTAAACTCGGTCCGTTGGAGTGATAGCCTTGACAAGCTTAGGCAAGTCTTTTTTAAGCCTTTTAGGGTCTGTCTTATCAGTTTTCGGCACTTTTTTCATAAAAGTCTTCTCYGCATCTTCGATATATATCACTGATGGTTGTAGCAACCTGTAATAATATAAGTATAGGTAATAGGTAAATATAAGGTATGTCGTTTATTGTATATTAGGTACCATACAACGATATACATTTAGGGGCCAGATGCCGGTTTTTCGAATTGTTTTTAATTCAATAAAACTTTAACAATTCACTTTACATTTTTGTTTTCATCTTTAGAGGACGTTATACCCGCACATGTGCTGTCTCCGTCGTAAAGTGCGTAACATGGCTATTTTTACGTTTAACAAAACATGTGTAGCTYTGTGAGTTCAAAATTAAGAGTGAATTAACCTCTTATAAAGATTAAAGGTAACATTATTATCGAAGGCTTTTCATGGGCTTTTTTTTTAAAGCGAGTTATGAGTATTTTAAAATTGCAATTTGTATTAGGAGTTGATACGGTGTATTATAAAAAAAAAATGAYTTCACATATTTTAGGCATTATAGAATTATTAAATGTTTTAATAAGTATTTTTTTATCTGAAAGAAGAAGACATTCTATAGGTCACATCGAGCCACGATATTTTATTTTATTTCAAATAATGGTATAAAATAATTTGAAAAACGATCGTATTATCGTTTATTATWATTAGACATATTGTAAAGTTTGCGATTAAAATATTTAAAAACGGAGTTTAATACTGCCCTATAGAATTTTACCCTCTAAAAATTAGATAAAACCTATCAAAATTTGATTGATCCTACAGGAAAGGATAGGATCATTATTACAGTAGTTTATGTTTGTGGACAAAATTACATGGGTAGTAGTACCCATCAAAGATCCAGATCGAATTTTTAAACACTTACTTTACGCGCATTAACACCACAACACCTATAATATCTTAGTATCTTACACACATAAAAATAATGATTGAAATAACTTTTTAAATTAGAGTAGGTACTAAATTGATGTCTATCACGGGAGCACACTTATGATGAATAATGATAAGAACAAGAATACGTCCATAATATAGTTATTTAGTTATTATATATCTGCACTTCTACTTATCATCGCCTATAGAGTGGTTGAGTTGTACCGGCTGGTACAAATAAATTCTGCCTCTATTATAGTATATATATACCCGTATTAGCRCAACTAGGGGTTGGGGGACTTGGTACTCCCAAGTATTTCCATAGCCGTTCTATAATAGTTGAACAATAATGAACCTTGACAATTTTTAATCACACACCTCCAAATTTTTCTTACAAGCGATGATTACGTACAGCTTACACTCAGTAGGAAGATACCCAATTAGAATTAATACTATTTAAACTATATATGTCTTTTATATAATTATAAAAATTAAATAACACATCTACCTTTAATATATTGTAGTTTTTTATGTTTTATTGTAGTGAATGTCAAAACTGAAAAGTATTTTTTTTTTTTTAATTAAAACCACAACGAAATTATATTTTTTCAACAATAACTATTATATGAAAAGTACATTAAATTGTGATTCTTAAGTAAATTTATTAATATTTWTGTGTTTTAGGTGCGAGCTACACAATATTTTTACTTTTTTACCCCATAAATCGGTGGCACCGCACACTTATACACCCATTATATTGCATCTCCTCTCATTTAATGTGTGGACCTGTTTATATTTTATTACATGACGCAGACATATTAAAGTCACTGCAGCCCTGGGAAATGGTAACAATAGCCCGTTCCCGGATATTATAAAAATGTAATACAACGCACGACCTTGCCACTTTGTTGACGAGATGGAGCAACATGGTGAGTCCCGATTTTCCGGGATATTTGCCTACGATGTTGGCCGAAGTCAGATCGAACAGCGTGGCCCCCAGCTCGGTGCACACGGCGTTGACCAGCGTGTGTTTGCCAGATCCGTGAGCTCCGGCGATAAGCACGGAACGCRCAGGCGGCCCGGCCTGGTGTATCTGATCRCTGATCATTGGCAGCACGCAGCTGTCCCTGACCGCGTGCCGGATGTCACCGAGCGTCGGGCTTGGATCGTT